AAAGATTTTATTTATTTATTTGAGAGAGAGAGAATGAGAGAGAACACATGAGAGGGGATAGGGTCAGAGGGCAAAGCAGACTCCCTGCCGAGCAGGGAGCCCGATGCAGGACTCGATCCAGGGACTCCAGGATCATGACCTGAGCTGAAGGCAGTCGCTTAACCAACTGAGCCACCCAGGCGCCCGGAAGCTAGCGTTTTTATCAACCAACTCCTGACTCTCAGTTGCAGGTCACTCTTGGGAGCACTTCTGATGAGCCGACATGCTCTTACAGCTGGACAATGCTCTCAGGCAGAGTGATGCTTTTGGTGTGCTTATAGGAACTGTCTGTGGGTGACCTCCAGGATGGGCTGAGGGGAAAGGGACATGATACCAATTATGTGATCTTATCTGTCTTCATGTGTCTAAAATGGAGATCATAATACTCAACTGCACTGGATTGATGGGAAGATTAGGTGCATCAGAGTTCATAAAGTGCCTCTCACAGTTCTTGAAACGTAGTCGATATTCAATAAATGATAGCTTTAGTAGTAATAAGTTAACATGAGGGACCAGTGGCTCTTCCTTTGTAGCTGACTTAAGACTTGTTTCTATCACTGTAAGTTGTGATAGAGAAAACAGTGACTGGGGTCAGAAGGGGCAACCTGTGGTTTTAGGAATAGAGATTTCCCTTTAGTGAAGCTACCCATTTGCATGGGGACAGAATCTATTCCTTTCAAGCATTATAAAGCCAACTAGTCTAGTAAGATATAATTAGTTTTCTCAGTATTAAAGCTTTTGCCAGTGCCTTGTACATTTTGTTGCTTGATAGGGAAAATAAAACTTCCACAGAACAGAGTTATTTTGCTTGTAGCTATAAAGAATATTTATCAGTTCATGCTAAATCTCAGAGCATATCCAGGTTGACATGGATGCCAAACTGGTTGTGTTTTTTTCCTTTGCACTAAATCTAATTGTAGGCATTATCACACCTATGGTACAAGTTTGTGCGTGCATCCCTACTTACTAGGAAGATGTAGGGGTGGGGGGAAGGTAACAGTTATCTGCTCATGTCAAGGGAATGGGGCAGGTGGACTTGGAGGTATATGAAAAATAGTAAGGGAACTTGGTGAACAGGATCCATTGTGAATGGAGAGTTGAGTTTTTTTCTTATTTTGTTTTAATGGGGGGAGATGGAGTGGAGCTGAATATGGTCAGTGTTGTGTATACTTTGAGAGGTTCTGGGTGACAAGATGCCATGAGAGAGGGATTGGGTCATGTATTGTCCTCAGTTCTACCAGATGTGGCGGTTAGAGTCACGGAGCTGGAAGTGCTGAGCTCCTCCCAGTCGAGGCCTGCGGGAAGAGTCAGTTTTGTGCATGTTACCTGTGGTGGGCTCAGGAGGCTAACCACACACCAGCCCTTGCCCCTCCTCTGTGCTAACAGGCCCTGATTTTGTTTGGCTATCAGATCCTTGTTCTTGGGGAAAGTAGACTCAAGCCAGTAGATGAATCATGTTTCGTGCAAGGCAATCATGTTATTCCATTTGTATTTCCTGGAGCTTGGTCTGAGGTGGTCAAGTGACTTAGAAGTCCAATGGAGATTTTAGGAAATATCTTCTTTCTGGTAAAAATAGATGAAGGAGAAAAGGCCTGCCCTTCTTCCTGCTTTTGGACTGGTTGGTACTGTGGCAGCTATTATGGGATCATGAGGGGGCATCTCCATAACACAGAGAGTGTGACAGAATGGGAAAATGGAAAAATTCTGTGTCTTTGATGATACAGAAGGATGAGCGTCTGGATTAGCCTGGGACTCCATACCTCTGGCTTCTTATGTGAGACTTCTATTGCTTAAACCACTTTTGATGGGCTATTCTGTTCTTGAAGCCAAAACGTCTTGATTGACAGAGCCCTGGATACAGAACAAGTCTGGTGGAGGGGAGATAACATAGACACTGACATTAGGAGTAAGCATTCATGGAAGAGAGGAAGAGCTAAGGCAGAACTGGGACCCCTGGAGAGGGCTCAGTCACCACTGACCAGGGCAGAGAAAGAATGGGGACTCCCTGTTGATCAGTAGCACAGCGAGTGCTCCCCACTGCTAGATGGTGCATGAAAGCAGGAGCGAGACAGCAGAGGCCACTTTGGTGAGGCGCTGCAGACTGGAGTGGCCATGGCAGGTAAGCCCTGCGGTTCTCTCTGGGAGATGCAGGAGTCAGGACCAACATGATATTACAGCTCTCGTAGCCTGATGGTGGTGGAGGAAACAGGGGCTTTGGAGCCAAACAGATCTGGGTCCCGCCACTTGCTTGAGCAGAGCTTCAGTTTCCTTCTCTGTAAAATGAGGAAAATCATATCTGCCCCATTGGATTCTTATAAGGATTAAAATACATTAAAATAAGTTAACTTCTCTAATCTGTAATATAGTGGGAGTTTAGGAAAAGATAGTTACTATTATTTAACAGACACCTGCAGAGGTAATGAAGATACTTCATGGTGTACCACTAGATACATGACCACTAGATGCTGAGTGAGATCAGGACAATTTGAGTTGAGACTTGCTAGGGTAATCTGGTGTTGACCTACCCTGATTAGTCTACTAAGAGAGAAGCCCCTGGGGATGGAGTTTCTGGAGACCATTTCTCCTCTGTCCCCAGAGACGTATCTGAAACAATAGACTTTCTTGGGGGGGAGAACATTAATATTTGCCATGACATTTTTTCCCCCTGAGCAGCAGAGGAAGACAACGGCAGAAGATGCGCAGTGCTGATATAAATGAGAAGGCCAGCCATAAGTGGGTTTTCCAAAGTTCCCAAGGGACTGGGTGGGGGCTTATCGTGGGGTCTCAGACTCCTCAGAAGAGGGAGGGGGAAGATCGTAGAATGTTTCCTGCCCATCCTATCATCGACCACCTCAGTTATAAAAGCACCAGAGGTACAAATGTAATAACCAGAATCAGAGGCTTCCTGCTCACGGATATGAGGGGGAGATGGACCAAAATAACCTCACAGCACTAATAGCAGACTCTGAGAAGCCACCCCTTCTCTCCTGGAGCCCCTTTCTGCACACCCCTGCTAAGTAATTTCTAACCTTTTGTTGACTCACAGAAAGAAGAATAGAAGTTACTGGCATTTGTAGTAACAGGATGAGAAAGTACGAGACTTCCTGTTGTGTGTGTGTGACAGCTGGTGATAAGTGGAGGACTCTGCACAGGAAATCCGCTCAGCTTCTGCAATGTGACCTGCCTGAAGCTTGGGCGCTCCTTCAGTCTGGATGTTGATGGCAGGACAAAGGGGCGCCTGGACCATGGGCGACGTGGTAGAGAAGAGTTTGGAAGGGCCTCTGGCACCTTCTACAGATGAGCCCTCCCAGAAGAAGGGAGACCTGGTAGAAATCTTAAATGGGGATAAGGTAAAATTCGATGACACGGGACTCTCCTTAATCCTGCAGAATGGCCTGGACACCCTCCGTGTGGAAAATGCTCTGACTGATGTCATCTTGTGTGTGGACATTCAGGAATTCTCCTGCCACCGCGTGGTGCTTGCTGCGGCCAGCAACTATTTCAGGTCAGCACGCCTAGGATTACAGTCAAATTGGGTGCAGGTTGTAAGGAAAATCGGTATCGATGTGAGAGCCCAATCTAAGTAGGTGGCCGTTGTTGCGTGTACAGTTTGTATATCTATTTAGGTTTGTGTGTCTATTCAAGATACAAGAAAGGAGGTTATTAAACCTTAGATTTTAGGGTTGGAGGCATATTAAAAGAGAGATTGGTATCATTTAAAAGCAATGTTTATTTATTATGGTGAATCTTCTGTATATGTGTCTTTGTTCCAGAGGATGGAAAATTACTGAAGTCATGGGGATTTTTTCCCCTTGGTCTGATTAGTGTGTTGGAAACATGATGTTGTCTTTTTTCACCAATAGAGGTAGAGAAAAGGTTGTGGCCCCTCGTTTGGAGTTATCAAATGACTTGCTGAAAATTAGGGGCTTCTGGTTGTGTACAGGGAGTGGATTGGAAAAGAAAACATAACAAAGGTGCTTTTGCAGTGAGGGGCTCCCAGTTATAACACACTCTGAGACCTGGGCTCCATCCTGTCCTGCCCTTCCTGACATTGGGACTCAAGGCAAGTCACTGCATGGTCTGGTTTCCTGTTTTGTCATGCATAAGGTGGGGACAATGATTACCTTTCTGGATTGTTGTGATAATTAAATATGAGAGGGAAACTGCTCTTACACAGTGCCTAGGGTATAGTAGACGCTCAGTATGTCTTTGTTGAATTCTTCACCTCATTCTGTTTGGTTCAGCTTAGAACCATTTATTGAGTGTTTACCACGAACAAATGCTGGGACAGGGAAGTGGGAGAATCAGGAACGCAGTGAATAGGGCTGGATCCAGAGTTCTCCCGATCACTGTAGGCGTGGTGGGAACCAGTCCCCAAGATGAAGAGGAAGATGAAGAAGCTATTTGGGGAACTTGAAAAAGAAATGCTTTTATAATTCTTTTTAATGAGATTCTTCTTAACTCTTGGTTCTGGCTGAGGAAATTAAAAAGTATTTACCTATGTAAATATCATGAAAATATTTTATTTTTTCATTTTTCTGAAAGGCTTAGAGGGAAATTTTTCCTTGGATTTCAAAGAGCAGGGTCAGTGGACTGTTGTGGAATTGATTAGGTCCCATCTGTAGATAAGGCAAGGGGACGCCTGGGTCGGCGGGAAGTAGTGCTGCTCTGTGCCAGACAGACACCGTTATCTGATTTTATTTTTGCAGCAGTGTGGTGAAGGTGGCTGATGTTCCCTTTTACAGATGAGGAAATGGAAACCCAGCTTTACATATGTAATCATTGCTAGAGCAGGGATTGGGCACATTCTAGAAATCCTTGTTTTTACTGCAATACAAATTGCCCCTAAATTTGGGGCTTCAGGGGTGCCTGGGTGGCTCAGTCGGTTGAGCGTCTGCTTTTGGCTCAGGTCATGATCCCAGGGTCCTGGGATGGAGCCTTGCATCGGGCTCCCTGCTCAGCGGGAAGCCTGCTTCTCCCTCTCCCTCTGCCTACCTCTCTGCCTGCTTGTGCTATCCATCAAATAAATAAAATCTTTAAAAAAATAAAAATAAAAATAAATCTGGGGCTTCATTCCACAGGAAGTATATAAAAGGTAACGGGTAGGCACAGCATAAAGATGGGTTGACACAGATAAACACATTACTTACCCACCAGTTTTGAGCATGGCTTTCACATTGATCACAACCACTTTCAGAAGTGAATGAAAGTCAACTTGGCTCAGTGTCCTGAGTACCCGTTTTTAGGTTTATTCATTCTGTTTTGAATCACTGGAAAATGGCTGTCACACAAAGGTATACCCGATTAGCAATTTTGTTAGTGGCTCGAAGGATCGCTGGCTGTGTGCTCTCAAGTACATCACTGGTTCCTCTGGTCCTTGGGTTTCTCATCCTAAACCGAAGGTGTTTGGGCCCAGGTCCTTCCCACCACGCTGATGCGGAATACTTAGGGAAAGTGTCTACCAGCCCCCAGAGGAGGTGGTGGCAATGAGATGCGGGAGGCTCCCACACAGTGTGCATATCTGCCTGGGGATGAAGAGTCACTTCCAAAACTGCCTGGTCGTGGAGGGAAATTCCTTTTTTTCTTCAGAGCAGTGACTTTTGATTCTTACGTTGGTATTTCAAGATGACTTTCCTCCTATAATGAACACAGTCCTGGAGACAGGATTCTTTTTTCCAGTACTGCTATTAATAATGACGTCTGTCATTGAGCACTTACTGTGAGCAGAGCTCTGTGCCATGGGTGTCACACACTATCCTGCAGCCACCCTGCGAGGGAGGGAATTTTATCCCCATTTATAGATGAGGAACCAAAGCCCCGAGTGTCTCAGTTAATAGAGTGACCAAGTGGGATTTGGACCTAGGACTGATATGAAGTCAGACATTGCCTCACCACCTGTTGTGCTTTGTTTCTAAGGTTTTGAAAGGGGTTGGGAGCCAAGTTCCTTTTATGCTCACACTTCGGAAGGGCAGAGAGTCTGCTCTGTCTGAGAGGCTTCCGACACAGCCCCCCATGCTTAGGAGGGCCTGGAAGCTAGCTGTTAAATTATGTAAGTTATTTTTCCTTTATTCATTGAAAACATAAATATTTTCCATGGAGTGATTGAACCATAATTGATTTAACCAGTCCCCTGTTGACAGACATTTGGATTCTTATCTTTTGCTATATAACAATATCACAATGAATGACCTTATGCATGTCATTTTATATGCATGCAGGAGGATCTGGGGGTGTATTTCTAGAAGAGGGTTTGCTGGGTCAAGGAGAAATGCATCTGCAGTTTAAGTGGGTATGCCAGATTCTCCTTGATAGCGGTTCAGTTGTTTTGTACTCCCCACAGGCTTGCCAAAAGAGGATGGCTTCCCACTTTTGGATTTTTCCCAATCTGACAGATGAGAAACAGTATCTGTTTTGTTTTAATTTGCATTTCTCTTATTTTTAAGAAAAGATTTATTTATTTATTTGAGGGGGAGAGGCAGAGGGAGAGAGAGAGAGACAGAATCTCAAGCAGACTCCCTGCTGAGCGCAGAGCACAACATGGGGTTTGATCCCACCACCCTGAGATCATGACTCTGAGATCAAGACCTGAGCTGAAACCAAGAGTCAGACGCTTAACCAACTGCGCACCCAGGCGCCCTGTATTTCTCTTATTTTTAATAAGCTCAAACATCTTTCCATATGCTTAAGGATTGTCTGTAGTTCTTTTTCTATGAGCTCTCTCTTCACAGCCTTTCAAATTTTCACGTATATTTTTTAAAATTAAGATTTATTTTTATCAAAGTACTACATGCAGATAGTTAACGAAGAGTAAAATACTATTTAAAGGCTTATAATGAAAAACAGAAGTTCCTCTTCACCTCCTCTACCCTTCAGTTTTGCTCATCAGAAGCCACCATTTTTACACTTAGCTGTTTCTTCTGGTATTATATATATATTTCTTCAAAATATGCTTATCCTACTCTTTCCTGATTTCTCAATGTTAGACATCATTTATTGATTTCCAGGTATGTCTGATAAGGGCTTAGCACTTACACCTAACTCCCTTACCATACACTTCCCTTTCTTACAATCTCTCAATATAATGTTATCACATTTTTTTTTGTTTAATTTGTATTAAGAATTTACATTATGTCCATGAAAACATTGTTTCCTGTTGAGCCAAGTTGTGTGATAATGTTACACTTTCTTTCTTGTAAAGCTTTTTATCTTTCCTGAAGTTAATAATTCATTCTTTTTTCCATTTGCTTAATTTGAGGCTATCTTTCACTCACAGCTTCTCACCATGATCTTTCATGTGGTCCAGTGCATCAGAGAATCTACCAGTTCCATTTACCCCCCCCGAATCTTCCTCACTGACATCCTTTTATACATGTTCTTTGGACCTGCTGCCCAGCTATTGTCTAGCCGCATATGAAACCATGATGGCTGTAAACAGGGACTTTATTAGTAACTCAGACAATGTAGTTCCCTTTGGGGGCCTATTTAAAAGTCTTGAGTGGAATGAGGAAGTTGGGAAGATACATAGAGTTGAGGCTGAGAAAAGGGCAAAGGAGAATAAAGCTTTAAAAGTAGCTCATGACACACATTGAATGTCATACAACCAAATGGCAAGGTGTCCCTCATGGCAGGAATATCAAGGGAAGCATGATTTAACATTCATAATAATGCTTTTTAAAATGTTGTAAGACTACTAGTGTCTTTTATAAGACTGAGAGAGCTGCCATTTGTCTTATGCCTTTGGACATGTCCCCAAATCAGTCTTTGGAACTGGTTGTGCATCCTGCATGCTGAACCCCTCCTCCCAAAGGATCTCCATCTAAACCAGTGGTTCTTGCCATTTTGGGGGGCAGGGAGCAACAAACTGCAACTATGGCACACCCCATAAGTGATGTTGACCCCTGAGAGCAATCACGTTGTGAGTCCCAGGGATGGCTGAGGGGAGGGGTGGTGATGAAGGGAGGGATCATCAGGTTTCTCACAGTCCTACCTCATGACTGGCCTTCCTACATGAAGAAAAAAGCTTGCAGACTGAGGCTGAGTCAACAGCAAGCTACTTTGTTGCTGCTGATGCCCCAAATCTGCCTGGACCTTGGCTCCTGCCTTGTACTTCTGTACCTCAGTCTCTGGGTTTGTTTCCCTGAGGCCATGATGAGGGGACTTTGACCACTGGCTACAAAAATCAAGCGCAGGTCAGGAATGGGAATGGCGTTGTGGGACCAATCTATTAATATTATTATTATATATTAACCAATTACTGTATGGCAGAAAGTGGGGTGAGAGGCTATTCTTAAACCATATGTAGAAAGTCTTTGCTTTTGCTACATAATAGTATAAGGTGTCTACAAAGGAGCCAGCAAGTGTGGGTGATAGTGTAAGTGTAAAAGAAAACAAGAATGAGTTAAGGCCATCTGGGTCTGGATTAGAAATCTGGCTAATGGTGAGAGCACTGAAGGTGGCTGTCGCCGCTGTGGGGAACTCAAGCTAACTGGTGATTGTACTTCTAGC